ACAAATTGTACGTAGCTTTTTGTTTCCATGGCACATTCTCCAAATCAGTACTATCTCCCGGAACCGCTAGGGAAGCTCTTTCGGCACCGAAATGCGTATGAAGGGCCTTTACAACATTCGACCACCAAGCATCCAGTCCAGGTTCGGAGTTCAACATCAATGAGAGGTCATAGAGATTTGGGTTGGGATATTTGGGATCATCCATGATAGGGTCAGCATCGGAGGGTAGGAAATGATCTTTCCCAGACGAGCCATTTAATCCCGTAGGAGTGTTTGTCGTTGATGAGGCTTTGCTCTTTCGAGGCCTTGTTGTACTTTTTGAAAAGTGTCTGGCGATTGGACGCGCCTCATCAATCAATGAATCGAGAGATCCGTCTATAGAAGATGAAATATATGATGAAGGTGTAGGGAAAGGATATGCGGATAATTCAGAGGGATCTACGTTCTTAGACGATCTCATTGTGCGAGACGACGATGAAGAATCAGTGTGGACACTAGACTTCAATGAATCTGTTAGTGAACCTAGAGGGATTGGGGCGCCAGAGGGTGATGAGGGCGTAGAGGAAAATCCTTTCATGGCTTTTCGAGACAACTTCATCTCCGGGCGCGAACTTGGAGGATCCACGCTGAAGACGCGAGAGCCCGAACGTGAGTGATAGATAAAGGTCGCTTCCATACTCTTCCGCAATTCTTCCAGGGTGCGCATACTTTGGCGTTGACCACGAGGTGGCAGTCCGGGCCGTCCATGTCGAGAGGCTTGAGAAGACAGAGGTGATACAGGGCCATGTTTCGGGAGGGAAGATCCAGCGAGAGACGATTTCACGGACGAGTCACCACCAGAAAAGACATATTGATGCATGGAGGACAACAATTTGTCCTGGTCAGACACGGAGATGGGTCCCGGATTGCTGGCGGGGTGAGATTTCGGGGGGAGTCGATGATGATTGAAGTTGGCGGATGCCACGGACGGCGACGGCGGGACATTGACCGGGGAGGGCAGCGGTGGTGTCCTCATGCTGCTAATGACACTTGCTCTTCCTCCACTGCCGGAGAATTGATCCTCGTCGTGAAACTGGAGACTACAACTCAGGCAAAGGCTGGCATCTCATAAAGACGGTGACGCGGGAGGCCTCTTGACAGATGCCGAGAGGAAGGGAGAGTGTAAGCGGGAGAATTTGATGGAGATATTAACTCGGGAGTGGGGGTGGTGTAACGGGTTCTAAGTAGCGTATGTGGTGTTTGCGGTTGTAGATATGGGACGAGGTAGCTGCAGTAACAGTAATACTAATAATAGTGGTGGTTGGTTTGTTGGATGTTGGATGTAGTGTAGGCTGTTGGTTGCTGGCTGCTGGCTGCTGTCTGCTGGCTGCCGGAGGTTAGGTGCTTTTTTGGGGGGGAAAGCTGCAGCATGTATCTAATTATCTATCAGGCTCGGGGGATTTCTGGCACTGGCAGGAGCACCCCGTCGCCAGGAGACGCACCCGCTGGAAGCAGCAGCAGCAGCCACCAGCGAAAGAAGCAACCAGGAGGTGCGCCTTGTCCCCTGGGACTTGGCAGCGATGACGTAGAGGAGCAGCTCCGGAATGCGCCCCCGGCATAGCAAGCAACCCCACCGGGAACGAGGATAACTGGCGGAAAAGAGAATGATAATGGTATGACATAAACTAAACTAGTTGGTCAGAATTAAAATTAACCTTGTTCGGGGTTCCTTCTATCGACGGGTATTATCCCATTTCATTCCCTTTCTATTAATAATTAGCTACTTAGTTATCTATTCTGTCTCCATCCACAACCTATCCATGGATGTTCCCGGATATTCTCCCCACCGGAACCCTTTTCCTATTTATTCGTCATTCATTCATTCAATTTCAAAAGTCGGTTTGCCCCAAAAACTCGAGATTGTCCAGAGATGGCTGTTGTTCTGCTACACTGCCAGCGGGCGAGAAAGAAAACTGCCTGTGTGATTTATCTCAAAGAAAGGAAAGTCAACTGGCTTGCTTGCTTTTATTTCATATATTCCCCTGACATCATCCATGGATATTTCTTTGGAACCTGGCGATGACAGCTGATTTTCCAAGGTCTTCTCCCAGAACTTCCATTTCCAAGGTTATACAGGGTACAAAATGCCTATATGTTCTCAGTTCCAACAAGATTTACCCCCCCCAAAAAAAAAGTCTTTTATCTACTCCGTCCGTATGAAGAATTTATATTTACAAATCTATATTATTTCTCACATACATATGTGACTAATTAAATTTCCAAGTAAATGTCCCCATCCCTAACGGAAATAAGAAGCAATGAGGGAAGATTGGGATATTCCGTTCTCGGTTTACTTGGTAATTAGATGGTGATGGTGGCTGCTTTATTATTTAGAGGCATGAGGCAAACCAGCCACTGACAACTCGGGCATTTTCACCTCCGCTGCACTCAAGGTAGTGTGCATTGGGTTTCGCAGCAAGCAGCCAATGACGCCCAAACCCGGGCTACTGTTAGCCTTGAGCCATCAGCCTACGATTACAGACAATGTAAGCCCGCTAGCCCGGACTTGGACAGACGGTTGGGGCAGTTTGCTGCAATCCAGTTATGCTTTATTAGTGACAACGCCGTTCCTTGCCTGCTGATCGTTAGTTAGCAAGCAGTGGTGATGTCAAATTGACAGACACTTGTCGAATAATACCCTGTTATTACCATCTTCCCTCCATCCCGTCCTGCTTACCGCCATGCTCGTTGCTCAATGCTGCCTTTTCTCCAGAAATTTGTATGTTTTTTCTTCATACAAGAGAAATCATTCGGTAAAAACCTGATTTCATATTTCTGGTGTATATACACACGCTGCCTGTTCTGAAGAAGAAGAAAAAAAAGAAAAGAAAGAAAAAGCAAGAGAGAGAAAGAGAGAAAGAAAATCAGGTAAAAATAAAAAGAAAAAGAAAGATTAGAATAATTGCTAGCCGTTCTTGGCCCTCATTTTGGGCCGCGATGGTTGCATCTGGCGATGATGCATCCCACAATTTGGGTTCACCACGTTGTGTGATCTCTCAGTTTCGCTGTTACCCCAACTCCGTTCCACCAACCCATGTTTGCTCTTAATTTCGCGGCTCAAGCCACCGTTCGCCATTCTATCTTCTCGCTGATATTATCCGAGGGCTTTAAAACAAAAAGGCACTAATTATCCTTTCAACGGTTGCTATGTAAACACACGTTGAGAAGCTGAGTCTTTTCAACATAAACTTGCCGGTCAAACCTGAGATGCCCAATGACAATACGATTCCAACACCTAACCCTCGCCAATAATACGATCTACCCTCAAGGCGAGGTGCCAGTGGAGGTTAAACTAACCATCACCGGCTTTAATCCAGTCAAGCATTTCACAGAGCGTATGTCCTAATGTCGATGATGATTCATCACCTGCGATGGTAATCATCCCGTCTATATACTTTGCTGAAAGTTCCTACAGGCTAGCTACAACATGTATCCATAGTTGTGAATATTACAGAGTGACTAAATGGGATCTCTAACTGAAACATATTGCGCTCCTAATTTCACTGAGACAGGGAGAACATCTCTCACGTAAATCATGACTACATATTTACTCTTTAATGAACTCTAACCCCGGAAATGTTGGGAAATGTTGGTGAGTAATTAGTAGGCTACCCGAGAGTGATTAAGCACAAGCGATAGAGCCTGTGTCCATGGAAATAGTTTGCCGCATGTCTCAGCCGAATGGCGGATTAGAATTAAAATTCAAGATGCTGTTGTAACCAGCTTCGTCTATTACTTCATCACTTTTTTGTCGTTTATGCACGTAAAGTACTATGTTTGTGTCACGAATCATGTACATCTTTTTAATGGGAGCCCTTTTTGAGGCATTTGCGCCCCTTTCCTTTCCCGTCAGAGTAGGTAGCAGCAGGCAGCCTTACGGACAGGGGATAGATAAATGATGTTTGTGGAGAGGAAGAGCAGGGAATAATCGCCGCCTGCCAAGAGCCACCCAGAAACTGGCACGGGCCTCCAGAGAATTACCGTGAAAGGACAGGAAACCGAGCATGACACCTTGGGAACATCATCTGCGTATCACTATTGTCACACCAGGCCATCCGGGTTTTGAAGATACGATTAGGTCCGATGGAAAAGCCTGAAAAGTGAGGATTTGAGCCATCAGGCAATCTCAAAAATCACTTCTCTCGGCCCTCTCTTCACCTGGAGCTTTTCTATTTAAGAAAATACCAATGACAAGGGTTGATGCGGGCATCAACAAACGGACGAAGATCCATGGATGCATGCATGCGAAGACGGTTATGAGGTCACATAGCCAATAAAAGAAAGGCAAAAAGGGGATTAGCATTTCAGCTCCCGTGGAACTGTCCATGTCTCTCTTCCCGTGGAGCCTTTGTCAATTGGCTGACCGTTTGTTGGATGCGTTAGTTTATACCTCTCTCCATTGACATCACCAACCGCCGATTTCCAAGATCGCAAAAGAACCTTAATAATACCATGAGGAAATTTTTAAACATATCTTTACAGACATGAACGACCGATTAACTAGTTCAGCAATAACTATAGTTAATCAACTCTCAGTATTGTCAGCAAAAACAGAAAAATGAGAGAGAGAAACGGGTTCTCAGGAGAAAGCCCGAGAAAAACCACGCCTTATTTTGCCCCCCTTTTGTATTAAACCCTCCGACCCTCATGTTGTTTTCCTACGTTTCTCCGAAAGTGATCCAATTTCTTTCTTCCTTCCCCCCCCTTGATTCTGATGATGTTGTGAGTCAAAAGAGCGTAAGACTGGTAATGGATCGGCAGGTCGGGACGGTGGTGAAGAATGGAGAAACGTTTGAGTGAATTAATAAAAAATAAAAAAAATAAAAAAAATAAAAAAAGAGAGAGAGAGAGAACGCTGTATCATTTTCTTTTTTCTTCCCTTCGATGCGCCTGACAACAATCTGCATGGGTGATCATCTCAAATCAATCTACATATCAAGCAAATCTTTGGCGCCGCAATGTCACAAGGTTGGCTTCGCTTCGGACAGAGTCCTGATAATGTGGCCATTCTCAAACCATTCATCGATATTGTCCTTGCTGTTGACGTCGAAATGCGAAGCCACGTATCATTATTTTATATGGTATCCCCTCGGACCTCTCCTTCCAGTGGCAAGTCGCCACCATCTAGCGTCTTCACTTACATGTTGCCTTTCTCGGCTTCCTTCGCGCCCCTTTCCAGCATGACAACCCCCAGGATTGATTTGCCAGGACAAGAATGGAACCAGACACCAGCTTGTTGGTTCCATTGAAAATCCGTATTCGCGGCAAAAGGCGACTCTAGTGTATGACTCGCCATTGAATAATCTAGCAATACCGCTCAGTATGTTGTTAGTGGGTCGCCTGAGGATGAGACTCAAAGTTGAGCATACTCGTATTTATATTCGGATTGGAGATGCAGAGACTTCTTGAGAACGATCCAATGATTTGGGAAGTGGACGATTTCATTCCCGGTTCAATTTCAAGGCCCGGACCAATGATGTTTCTCAGCTAATTTACAAATTCACTTGCGAAGCTCAGAATGTGAGGACATTCGCTGCAAAGAAAGTCAAAAGGATTATGAAGAGTACTTACTCTCTTAGCATCTTTACAGTTTATGTAAAATGGCTGTTTTATACTGGTAAGGGTGAAATTCTGAAATCTTGTCCTAGATACTCGGTTTTGGACTTGACGTATTGCTCCTCACTCAGTTCTGAAAACGGCGAAATGTCACACTGAGGATTTGAGCTGAAAATCAACCAAAATGTCTGTAAACACAGTAATCAGACTCACTGGTTGCAGTTTCAATATGTTAACTCTCTTCTAGTATGATTTTCTTTTTGATATTCCTAATCTCTTTTGGAGTCACCAAGCCATCTATTGCTATAAAATGACCTCGCTTACATGCCGGAACCCTGAAGTTCATCAGGTTACTTCGAAAACTCATGGGGCTTGGAGTACAAATATTTGGTCATGGGCGATAGTCGTCAGCTTCCCCAAATGCACTGAACAACTCTGGCTAAATCCTCTGATAGTTGTCCCGATTATTTCAAGGACAAATTTATTTCAAGTCACTGGAAATCTAAGATTCGATCTCTAGAGAAATTTTGGAGAACACTATGAAGGTGGTCATTGACAAACCTGCAATTAACATAGACCTGGCCTTTATTTAGTTCTATACTGAGAACAAGGAATGTGCCAAAATATTACTACGTCAGAAAATTGGTATATGCGGGGGAAATTACGTGGTTATGAAGGGGCGTTGCTGTTGAAGAGATCCAATTCTTGAGTTGAGTTGAGGTCCTAACTGCTGGCGAGGCTCTTGGGAGTGGGTACTTGAAATGCAGAATTTCTTTTGCAAATCTTGCGAACTCCATTTTTGAAGTACTCTATTTTACGTATGTTGATTTGGATATGTTCTGGGACGAAATTAACGATTAGCTCTAGAAACCAGGCAGCCCTCCGCTCAAGAATCAATCCTAGCTCAAACCGGGCGTAGCTATGCATTTACACGCGCTCTACATACTTCCGTTGTTATAACTAGTTAAACGCCAGCGGACTTGCAGTCTACTTTAGATCTGCATTTCATGTGCAAGGCTTAGGCCGGCGCTTGTATTCTTCTCCTCAAAACACCAGATTCTCCGTCATGAAACCCCCATTCCCATCCCACGCAAGAAACAAGGCTATCTTCGGATGTGGTTTTCCCCGATCCTTTAGCTCAACGCCAGAACTGCTTTAATTGCAGAGATATCCAATCAATTTGATAATGAATCCTGAAACTTTATCAACGAGGGGTACAAAAGTCAAAGCTCCTGATTGGTATTGAGCATACATTCAAATCACAATAGAGTTGCATGTCTGGTTGGATATTTATGAACATCTCCAGGCTGTATCTGAAGTTCTCTCCACGCTACGTACGACTTCAAATTGAACTGTCATCAGACACATAACTACATCATGGGATGGCTTTTGTTTCGCAACTAATTGTTAAATGCGAGAAGCAGCTCTTGGTTTTTTCTCTCTTTCTCTTCCTCATTTGGTGATAGGCCTGTTCTTCGCTTCTAGTCTTTCCACAGGACTCTTGCAAACAAGAGGGAAATCCCTCATTTACTCTTCCTTTCCTTTTCTTTCCTTTTTAATTTTCTTGCTGTCACTCATGATAAATTTTTCATTTCCATTCATTTTCCCCAGTGTCTAATAATGGAGGTCCTCTTTGGCTAATTGCAGTGCTATCAGGGAGGGCAAAGGGCATGCTGCGAAAAAGATTGACAACATCCCTGACCTCCTGCATGCAAATTCCAGCTGCCAATTTGGCCTTGCAGACCAAACCTCAACACCCGTCAGTCTCCAGGCCTCAAGGATGCAGCTGTGGCTATATTTAGCCTTGAAAATTGGCGCTTCGAGCAATGGCAGCTGCAACGGATGATACTCCAGAGGTTCTACCGAATAACTGTTGTTTCCTCCACTTCTGCTTCAAGAATGAAAGATTAATGTGCATGGCCTTCCATGCATCAGAATGTCAATGATAGGTGATTTCTTCCCTTTCTCCTGTTTCGCAACTATGTCAGCCTTGTTTCAAAAGTTATACATATGTCTTGACGGGCCATTGTCTAGCCCAGAACACGATATCTTTAGAGGCTGCGAATTTGACATGCAGATCTTGACAATGAGCACGGTATATAGGTATAATGTATCACCATATCAAGCAGCATTAAGCAGGCTGAGGTGAAGAAGTGCAGCAAACGATTCTTCTAGCATCATTTACATGACCTGATCCTGAATATTTAGAGTTCATCTGAATCTGTGCAGTTCTCCGTAGATCAAGAGGGGCTGGCATTCGCATCGATCTTGGAAGATTAAAATAACTATTCTCCTCACCTTATCTACTCTGCCACTAACCTAGGGTTTCCATTGAAGCTTGCTGTGTGCAGAGTTCCCCCTTCCGCATATGCTGATGGGTGAAAACTGGGTTCTGACTCGTTGACTGCAAGGTTGGAAGAATGTCATCACACTTGTATTGTAACTAATTATATCAAGAAGTGGAATTAATCATTTGTCTATTGAAGTGTGCTCTAATTGGTTGTTGCCAAGCTAGCGCATGGGTTCTCACAGGAATCGGAAAATGACCTCTGGAAAAGAGATTAATCAAGGAAAAATAAAATATATATTAATAAAATAAAATACAAACAAGTTGATGGGTCACACAAATAACTAGTTATTTACTAGTTAAAGCGTTGGAAAGCTTCCTTGGGTTAGGTCAGCACTTAACTATTAATTAACATACTAGTTAACTAGTTAGTTAACTAGTTAGTTAAGTTCGTAGTTAGTCAGTTGCTGGCAACGGAGGCAAGCGCTGCCTAAGGAGGCCCTTGGCAATTTAAAGTAGTTGCAACCAGCCATGCCTAAACTCGACTGGGAGCATGCTGATTGTCCTGACCTACAACTAACGACTGGTTACAACATACAACTTTTGAAAGCCGCTGTCCAACTTCTTCGCTTCACACCAACTCTTCCTGATTCCTGATTTATGAAGACAACACTGAGGCCGTTCAAGGTATGACCACTCCTCACCTCAGTGGTACTAGACGTCTCCCGGCTGTTTACCATACTTCTCTTAATCGCACTCGAACGATGCATTGAGCAGGGCTTACCGCTCTCTTCTACACGGTTAAAGAATCCCCTATATATACCCCACCCTGCCCCCCAGCCGGCCCTCGATGGACGACAGCTATATCCTTGGGGAAGAGCTACCTCTTCCCACAGAACGCCTATTCGAGCGCTTGGCACAGATACCTGGCTACGTGTGGGACCAGAATTCAAGACCCTTTCGCTCATCCTACGACCACTGGCATGTTACAGGCGTCAGACTTGCTCCAGATTCTGATACCCCCATCTTCAGCCCTTCCAATTTCTCTCGATCCAAAGATTTCTCCTCCTCGCATACCTCTCCCAGCTTCGAAAACAGATACCACTCTCGACACCACTGGCGAAATAGCCTCAGCGAATCGAGCAGCGATGTTTCGTCCTCCCGTAACGATGATGAACACGATCCTGCGTGGATACCCGTTGTGGCTCGCATCTCAAGCCATGTCATCAGGCTAGAACGCGAGTTCCACACTCTAAAGTCGATTATTCAGATGTCGGATCCGGAATGCCAGCATACCGTCCGTCCTATTGATATGATTCGTATGAATCCTCAGCCGGGGGATCGAGGACCGTTATTGGTCACTATTTATGAGGCACTGGGTCCAAATTCCCTGAGAGAATTTGTAGGCTTTGGGCCCTCGTTTTTCTGCGTACATGGTGGAGGCAGCATGACAGAGTCGTCAACTGCGGGGATCCAGGTCCCCATTGCGACTTTCTTGGACTTTGCCATCGGTGCCTGCGAATGTCTGGAGTTGTTACATTACGGACTGAAATGCATACATGGAGAAATCAGACCTGATGCTTTCCATTTCAACTCCGAGGCAGGCACCGTGAAAATTGTGACTACGGGAAATGGCGCTAGATCCTTCGATAATGCACTAAGTGAAGGATGGTCGATTTTGTCGCGCGAGTTGGGCGTGAAAAATAAGCTACAGTTCATAGCACCAGAACAAACTGGGAGATTACCAACGGAGCCCGATAGTCGTACTGATATATACGCCCTTGGTGTGATGTTCTGGTCGATGCTTGTAGGACAACCTGCATTCGAAGCCAGTGATCCTGTAGAAGTGGTGCAAAATGTTCTTGGGAAACAATTACCTATGGTATCTCACAAAAGGATGGATGTGCCGGACGCAGCCTCCGCTGTTATACAAAAGATGACCCAAAAACAGATCGATGATAGATACTACACGATCTCCTCGGTGAAATGGGATCTTCAACAAATCTCAAGGCTGCTCGGAGATGGTGATCGTGAGGGACTGAAGAATTTCGTCATAGCCCAACGCGATGTCTCTTCATTCTTTGCACTGCCAGCAACTATGTTTGGCAGGAAAGAAGAGCATGAAAAGATCCTCGAAATTATCCACAAAGTCCAGAAACGTCAGCAGGCTATTATAACGCAAGCCTCTTCCAAGTCAAATATTTACCCTCTTTATGCCCTTAGTTCAAACTCGTCTCTTTCCGATAGTCGCTTAGAAGGTCTCGAAACAGGAGATGGCTCGAGTGACTCTGGATCATATGGTATCGCCGGCTCAAAGACCAATTCTACAGCTGCGCCTTATATTTTCACACATACATCAATGCAAGACTTGAACCGTAGTGGAGATTCCTCCTCAAGCCAAAAAACGCTCCTTATCTCCAATCGAGTTAAAAGCTCTATTGATTTGAGGACTGGCGGGGATGCCAATGATCGTGAAGGCCTCGTGTCTTCCAGTCTGGTTAGTCTCGGCCAATTCGATTCACTTGCAAGTCTAGGGCGGCGGAAAGTAACGGCAAAATACCGCCAAAGTGGACGTTGCGAGGTGATAAGCATATCGGGAGTTGCTGGCCTTGGAAAATCAGATTTGATAAACCGACTACAGCCGGAGATCCGTAAGAATGGTTATGTTGCCGTTGCCCGTCTAGATCGCTCGCGAAGGATCCCTTTCGAACCGTTTTTTAAAATTCTTGCCAGTCTTCTACGTCAGATTTTTTCAGAACGTGACGTTTCTTCTGAATATCACACCTCAATACGTTCAACGCTACAGCCTATATGGTTATCCCTCCATCGAGTACTTGGGCTGCCAGAAAACTTGATATACTCCCTAAAACAAACCAGCCAACCTGTGAACTTCTTGAAGTCCGTTAGCCCATTACCTGCACTTAAGGAAGGGCCTGAGGGATCATTCCATGCCAAAAATGCAGAGTTTATCAGTCTAAGTGCCGGTCAGACATTTAAGGATTTCTATAATGACCCGTCGTCGAGTGCAATGCTCAGATTCGCCGATACACTTCTTGAAACCTTGAGGGTTATGTCATTCCATAAATTGATATGCGTGTGTTTAGATGATATTCAATATGCCGACGCCGAAAGCGTTCATTTGCTACTCGAGATTATCAATAAAAAGATCCGATGCGTTCTTATGATCACAAGTCGACCGGAAGAAATAAACTCACCGGAATTAAAGGCACTTTTTCAGACCGACATGGCCAATGTTACCAGGATAGAATTGGCCCGGCTGAGTGAGCATGAAGTTCTCGAATATGTGGCTGCCACGATGCACCAAGCTGCTAGCAAGGAACTTCTACCCCTTGCCGCTGTTGTTTTAGAAAAGAGTCAGGGAGTTCCATTTTACATGCGCATGATGCTCGAGACCTGCTATCAGAAAAACTGCCTTTGGTATTCTTGGAGAGATTCTGCTTGGCAGTACGACTTGGACAGGATATTCTCCGAATTTGTTGCTCCGAGTTATGGTCAAGGCATTGGAATAGATTTCATTGCTAAACGATTTCAGGAACTTCCCTCGGAATCCCGCTCAATCTTATTGTGGGCTGCGTTGTTGGGAAGTCCATTCTCTTTCACGCTAGTTCAGAGATTACTCTCTGGAGAGTTTCTATACTCCCGGGGCGGAGAGGATGAGGAAGATATAACTTGTCCTCGTCGAACCCCTCTGACTCAGACTAAACGAGGCATTGTTTCGGGCCTTCAGCACTTACTTCAACTATACATTATACTCCCAGGCGAAACTGATGATGAATTTAGGTAAAGTCCTTACTTACTTTTTTCCTTGCCCCCTGCGTTTATGGCTTAGCTTTCTGTTCTAAAGAACTAATTAAACTGGTTTAATTCAGGTTTGCTCATGATCGCTATGCTCAAGCGGTTACAACTATGAGGGAGTGCCATAACCAAGAGAAGATGCATTTTATTGCTGCGCAGACCATAATGAAATATGGCCCAACTGACAGTGCTTCACTATATTCGAGAGCTCAACATATTCGCTCCGCAGCAAGATTAATCAAACAACAAGTTCCTGAGCGGATAAAATATCGAGATGCTTTATACCACGCTGCCCTCACTGCTTCCCGATCTGGAGCGAAATCTACCGCTCTAAGCTATTTTCAAGCTTGTCTTTACCTTCTCCAAGATGATCCATGGGATATCGATGCAAGAGATGTTTACTACGACGAAACACGAGAACTCCATATCCAAACAGCAGAGATGTTTATATTTAATGGAAAGCCCGCCGAAGCCATGGATATACTTTCCATCGTCTTTGAACGTGCACACACACCTTCATGCAAAGCGAGAGCATGGACTTTGAAAAGTAGGATACGCGCACAAGTCGGTGATATTTCCGGCGCCCTGGAGGCGCTGCTCACAAGCATGGAAGAGCTGGGCGTGAAAATCAACAGGTCCAGCTCTTGGGAAGATTGCGATGAGTCGTACGCGAAACTCAGTGCGTATCTGAAAGCAGCTGATCTTGATGTCGTTTTTTCTGCACCGCTTAGTGAAGATCCGTCTTTGATTGCCCTGGGAGCATTGATGGGGGAGGCCATGGGAGTGTGTATCTGGGGAGAGCCGTTGACATTTCTCCAGCTTGGTATTGAGATGATGAATATTTATCTATTTCGCGGATCGTTTGTCCAAATCGCCTACCTTTGCACTTACATAGCCATGATTGCTATGAGTCGATACAAGGATCTAGATCTTGGTATTAAGCTTAGCAATGCTGCAGTTAAGTTCATGGAGAGTTACGATGAACCATGGATTCCAGCTCGAGCTGTTACCGCCCATAACTTTTTTGTCAATCATATGAGGGTGCCTATGGCTACGACGTTACCACTTCTCGAGGGTTCGACGGAAGCTGCGTTTTTGATGGGTGAAAGATACTTGATTCTCATGAACATATCCGCAATGGTATTCACTCGTTTTTGTCTGGGTCATGATTTAGGTGAGCTGGAGGCTCTGTGCAATTATGGTCCAGAAGAACTTTGCGATTGGGAAAACGACCCACGTGGAGGGGTCTATATCATCTCTGTCCGGTAGGCTTCATCTTTCTAGTATTTTGATGATACCTACTTTTGGGAAATGTGTCTTAGTTGCTGATACGCTGTTTTTCAGACAAGCCGCCCGCGCTCTTCAAGGGAAGACTTTTACCCACTCCGCAGATCATATACTATCCGACGGACAGCACGACAGTGAGAAGTACCTTGCTGCTCATAAATTAAACTCTCACACCTTAAATATGTATCGTGCGATGAGCGTCATACCCCTCTACCTTTACGGGCATCATGAAAAGGTGGTGGAGATCGCCACTGAAATGACAAAGACTCTGCCCGGTCTCTGGTCCCTTCGTGCTTCCACTCATACGTTATTTTACCTTTCGCTAGCACTACTCAGCCTCCACATTGAGGATCCATCACGACCTGGACGCGAAGACGCCATCAGGCAGGCCATCGAGTACAAAGAGGAGATTGACTACAAAGCCAGCGCTTGCGACGCCAATTATGGTATGTGGTCATTGATTCTGGAAGGTGTACTTTGTGAGGCATCGGGGAATTTCCAGAAAGCCCTTCCAGCCTTCGAAGCGGCACTCGACCATACCCAGTTGCATAACTGGCCTCTGGAGGAAGCGCTCGCTCTCGAACTCCAAGTCGACTTCCTTGTTCGCCGTGGCGTTAAGCGGGCTGCACAGTATTTGTTGCGGCAAGCTATTACCTCATGGAATACCATAAGCGCAACAGGGAAAGCTAGACAGCTTTCAGAAAAATATGAATGGCTCCTAAGAGTTGGACCCCCCACCTCAAGGGTCAGTAACGCGGCTTGTCAAACTATTGATTCAGTAATCAATGTCCCCACGAGAAGTGCGGAGCCATCAACGAACCCAATGAATGGACAACTTGAAGATCAGCGCAATCGGGAATGGCTAGAGGAGAACGAGGAACGTACTGATCAGCACTCTCTGGACATATCTGGGCTCGGCTTAGGTAATGTTTGCAATTCACATATACCATCAGGATGGTCATTCTAACCGCATATTTATTAGATATAATCGACTTGTCAAGTATCCTTGAATTTAGTCAGGTCATGTCTTCCGAGTTGCATATAGACAAACTACTGAAAAAAATGGTTGGCATAATACTCGAGTCCTGCAGCGGATCAGAAATTGCCCTCGTAATCACAGATTTCGAACCATATGGCTGGCTGGTTGCCGCTGCTGGTGACCAAGAAAACGGAGAGGTTGCTTTCTCCGATGGGCTTCCGTTTTCTGAAGTTGAGGATAAAATGGCGCAGCAAATCACACATTATACTCTGCGGACGAGAGAGCCGGTTCTGGTCCATAACGTTATTGACGATGAACGCTTCTCCAACGTCAGTGATGCGTACGCGGCTCGAAACCCTCAAGGGAGATCTGTCATCGCACTACCTATCATCCAAGCCAAAAACCTTCTTGGTGTCATCCACATCGAAGGTAAACCGAATTCGTTTACACAGCGTAATTTGGTTGTGTTGCGTCTTGTTTGTAATCAAATCGGGATATCGCTGGCGAACGCTTTCCTCTATCGAAACGCCAGTAAAGTTAGGTAATGTTTATCCGACAATTTTTGTTTTCAAGACGTTTCGTTTCGTTTGCCATTTTTTACCACTTACTGACGCGGGTTCCCTAGTGCCGCAAATGCTGCTATGGTTGAGGCGCAAAAGCGTGCTTTGGCGCATGCCAGAGAAGCGGAACGAAAATCCAAAGTTGCGGAAGCGGAAGCTAAGCATAACGTTAAGCTCAAGGAAGATGCTGCTAAGGCCAAGTCAATTTTCCTGGCTAACGTTTCCCATGACTTACGCACGCCAATGAACGGAGTTATAGGTTTAACAGAATTACTTAAGAAGACCAATCTGGACCGCGAGCAGAACGGCTATGTCGAATCCATTCGCGTCTGCGCAGATACTTTATTAACTCTAATCAATGACATTCTCGACTTCTCCAAACTTGAGGCGGGTAAAATGAAAGTTGCGGCCATTCCGCTCAACCTCCGGGACACTATCATGGAAGCTGTTCGTGCTCTTTGTTTTACGCATCGCCACCGCGGGCTTCAGACGATCGAGGATTTGGATGAGCTTGATCCGAATTTGCTGGTTATGGGAGATCCTGTTCGTCTCCACCAGATATTCATGAACCTGCTGAGCAACAGCTACAAATTTACACCACAAGGTTCAGTTACAGTGAAAGCCAACGCTTCCGATGAAGAGGACGGCCGCATCCGTATTACTTGTAAGGTTGTTGACACCGGCATTGGAATTCCCGGTGAGCAATTGGTCCGGCTTTTCAGGCCATTCTCCCAGGCCGACAGTTCCTCTGCGAGATCTTTTGGAGGAAGTGGGCTTGGATTGAGCATTTGCAAAGCGATAATAGAAGATGTGCTTGGCGGCAAAATTTGGCTGCAATCTGAGGAAGGAGTGGGCACGACTGTAACTTTTACATTGGTCTTTAGCAAAGCCCCGAAGGGTGCGGTTGTGAAGACCCATTGGTCTCAAGACGGCTCGCGAGAGAAGACACAGACCGGCATAAGGTCTTCAATACGGGATCTCAAATCTATCCCCCGCACCGGGATTCGCGTGTGCGTCGCTGAGGATAACCCAATCAATCAAAAAATCGCAGTCACTTTCGTTAGAAATTTGGGTTTGGAGTGCGAGGCATTTAGCGATGGTCAACAAGCTGTAGAAGCTCTCAGATATGCATCTGCGGAGGGAAACCCGTTCCATCTTGTCCTAATGGACGTGCAGATGCCTGTGTTGGACGGATACAACGCGACGCGCAGAATCCGCCAAGACCCAGACCCGAACGTCAATGACATTCTCGTTATAGCCATGACTGCCAGCGCGATCGAAGGGGATCGCGAAAAGTGCATAGATGCCGGCATGAACAATTACCTCGCTAAACCGGTTAGGTCTGACGTACTCAAAACAATGCTTAATTGCTACCTCTCTCCCTTACTAGAATCAGAAGTCCCAATGCGGTCCCTGCGATGGCGTAAGCCACCGCCTATACAACTTCCACACCAAGCTTCTGTTAAAGAGGAACAATTGCAGGACAGCGACAGCAATTCCAATTCTAATTCGATGATGACCATTCGGAGAAACCCGGGGGATCTTTATGCAATTATGCGGAATGGTAATCCGAAGCCACCTCATAGTCCGCCGCTGGGCACCAGCATCAGTTCTGAGCAGGCGACTTCGTCGTCGTCGTCTGCTGTAGAATCTGCTGCTGCCTCTGCTGTTTCTGAGGGCACTGCCATTAAGATGAACGGGCGTGAAGAAGGGTCAGCGTCTGTGGAATGAACAGTCAATTGAATGAATGGATTAAGCGTTTTTTTTTTCCTCTTTTTTTTTTTTTTTTTGCTCGGGAATCTATCGAGGCACAGGTGTGTGGAGGCATGCCATGCTCTTATTTTCTGTCTTGAAGATATCATTTTCTTCTGTTTTACGTTTCAAAGGGGAACGCATGTGTAGGGCTTAATTTCATTTTCTTTCCAGAGAAGGCATTTGTTTGTCTCTTTGCTCTTTTTACATTTTCTATTCCTCAACTTCTTTTAATGAACAGCCATGGATGGACCTTCTTCTCATCCTGGGATTTGTACTCATTTTTCCTCTTGTCTGTTTTTTCTTTTTTTTCTTTCTTCTGCAACCACACTTAATTCTTATGATATGATACACTAACTGCATGGAAGGGACACTACCGCATAACGAAATGGGAGGAAATGATAGGAAAGGAAGTGCACCTTTACGGGCTTTTTGTTATGTTTTTCTTTTTATTTTTTGTCTTATTAAACTCATGCTTATATCTTGAAGTGATTCAAGAATTTTTCTCTCCTAATTCCTATATGTGATATTATCTAGGAATAGCTTGAATACTAGTTACTATAAATAGAGAATTGCTTCGCCTATATTTTCAAATTCCCTCTTTTGAACCCTCCTTTTACTGCACATTGGTTTATTTTTGCAAATTGTTTCTGTTTCTTAATTTTCAACCTTGATGATGGTTGAAGAGGGTTGGCTGTTATTGGTGTGATAGGTGAAGCAATATGCTGTAAACCTTGCTATAAGATGACAATACTTCAACCGCTGAATTAAATGAAATTGTTTCTTCATATTTGAGGTATAATGTTGGTTCGGGTATCCCAATCAATCAATACATACGTGAACTCTCCAACCCCTATCCACAACTCAACCAGCCGAATAACCCGTCACGCAGCCCTCCTCCCCAATACCCTAAACCTCTTCACACCACCATCCGGCACTATCGTCAACATAACATGGCTAAACACCTTCCTACCAATCTCTCTATTCAACATCCCACCCTCAAACACATGTTCTGTATCTGCCTTACACGGCTGATCCCCCTTCACGACATCCACCCACCCTTCATCATTAATCCTCGGGTCCCATTTACTCTTATCACCATCCTCGGCCCTCAAAAACCCACTCACCCTAACCGCACTCGGAAAATTGCCCCTGAAATCCTTTGTGTCAACAACCACCTTCTCAATCGTCCCTGCCAGGCCCAACCGCACAATTACCCTATCCACATGCCCGGGCGTCCGCGAACGAGCCGTCTCCCAACCATCGCCCATATCGTTTCCCCGGCCCGGGAGTAACAGGTTAGATGCGGGTGTGTAATGCTGGTTACTAGCAGCAACCACAAGGCCTCCCATGAGCGCTGAAGAGAGCTCTTCCAGGTCTGCCGTTGCACCTGCACCTGCTATTACTACCGCTGGAGCAGGCGGGGGTACGGCATGCCCGTACAATCTAAGTCGAGCAAAGCCACCATCCGGATACATCCTCACACGCACGTGCGTAATGGGTTCGGAGGGCTCTGACAGCAGCCAACCCTGCCGGCACGAAGGACCACAGGATTGCCGTGGCAAGATAACTGTCCACCCTCCAAAGTTCGGCTTCGCGACCTCAGTCTGCGCCTGGGTATCTTCCGGGCCGATATGGGCACCCTCGATAACCACGCTCTCACCATAGTTGCCAACAAAATGCGCCGTGTCGATTTCGACGCCCACGACGATACCACTGCCGACACCTAGCTTGATTACAGCCCAGTCATACTCTTCTGGATTGTGCCTGCGGGTTTCCCAGCCATCGTACCAGGCGCCAGTGTGGATGAAGACGCCTGGTCGGTGGACGGGGGTGCCTGGAGTGAGGAGGTTTGAAGCTGCGGCGAAGTACTCATCGGAGCAAGAGAGGACGACCGCGTTTAGGGAGGAGGAAGCGAGGTTTGTGGTTGTTGAGGCAAAAGCTGAGTCGATGTCGGCGGGGGTGAGAAGGGGTGTTACCTTTTTGGCTGGTGGGATGATGGGCATTTCCATGGTTGTTGGTTTTGATTTTTCCTCTATTGATTCTATTTACTGTCTTCTGAGGCGATTTCTTTTATAGGATTGATTGTCATATGATTTTTTATGGGTGTTTGAGAGTAGCGGAGACGACAATATATGGCAGCTGGTTAGGATGCGGGGAGATGAATCCCTTTATTTGGGTGCACTGCAGCCGATGGCGTGGGGACTGTGGGGATTGACAATTGGGACAGATGAACGAAATGCTCCCTGGAATAATAAACTCCTGTTCCGGTATGTTAAATGAAGTTTATGGTGCAAGCATTCGAAGGTTCTTCTAAATATGCGGAGATCTCCAATGCCTCTTCGTAAACTGGTGGTTCAGCTCTTATTCCCAAAACTGTCCTGTGAAATAAAGTTATTATAAATATAATAATAAAGTTAACAAGCAAATGTTAGGGGCAATTTTAAATTAAGTTGTTTTCATTAGTTACTTAACGTCATTCTCCCATTTTCATCTGATGTCATAGAACTGTGCATCAGTTGACATAGTTAAATAACTAAACCTAAGAATTATGAAACAAGGAAATTATTACTAAGGTATCTAATATTTTATTCTCGTTGATTCTGTTCCAAAACCCAATGAGCAAATAGGAACAATCCCATTGGCCTCGTTTCTCAGCCAATTGCAAATGCTTGAGTTGGGTCTCGTATCGATTGCAGGCGCAGCATTTGCTGTGTTCATCCTCGCTTCAGATCACTCAATATTGAGACTTGGATCTTGTCTCATCTTTATTCCTCTACTCACCGCCATACACTGAACAACTCCAACATTCATCATCTTCATCATCTTCATCACCTTCATCATCATCTATGATCTAGTCGGGAATCAGATAGACAGCTACGTATATTATATACGCTTTCTCATACCAGCTGCCCGTCTGCATCCTTGTCGTCGGATCACATATTATCATGGCCTCTGCCACGGGGATCCCTGATGAGTGCCCCACAGCTATTAGCAGCTCCAGTAATGAACAGGAGCCTTTGCTGGGCCGTCCAGGGGACGTCAGTCAGAAGGAAGACCAGGCTCTGGTCACTAATCTAATTACAGGTAGGAGATGAAGCTATACACCCTAGTTGATTTTGCTTATATTTACTGATGATACCGATGTAGGTACGGCAACTATTGCCCAGGCGGGTATCTGGATTGTGAGTCCATGAGACGGATATAGTTATCTATCCATATATCATCTCTACGATAATATATACATCAAACATATCAGAAAGAACCACATCCTAACCGGAAATATCAATATACAGCTCGCTGCGCTCGTCTGGAACGCTATCTTCTCCCAAGACCTCATATTCTTCTCCCCCCATCCAGTATGCACTTCAAAATCACCTTTCCCCCCCCCCCCCCCCCCTCCCCCCCAAACTTCTGCCATATATTTATTTTATGTCAATATACAGCGGTATCCTAACTTAACGCCCAGGAGTAAAAACAGACCGGCGTCCTCCTAACCACCCAAGCCATCCTCCTTCTCCAGCCAACCCACACCGCCTCTCAAAAACGATCCGGCACCCTAGCCCACTGGGGCCTTATCGTCCTCGCAAATCTCTGCTTCATCAGCGGCCTCGTCATCATCGAGATAAGCAAAGCCGCACACCCAGAATACCGCTTCACCTCCATCCACGGCATCCTAGGACTGGTAACCTACATCCTCATCTTCCTGCAGGCATCCGTCGGCGTCGCGCAGTATTTTTTCCCTGTTGCTGTCTTTGGCAGTGTGGATAATGGTAAGAAGATCTACAAGTATCATCGTGTCAGCGGGTATGTGGTGTTGCTGTTGGAGCTAGCGACGGTTGCGGCTGCGACGCAGACGGCTTATAATAAGGCTGCCTTGCATGTTAAATTGTGGGCTGTGTTGGTGGCGGCAGTCCTGGTGATTGGAGGGGTTGGGGCGAGGATTAAGAAGCAAAAGATGAAGATCTTTTGATTTGACTATTGTTTGAGAGGAAAGGGGTTGGTGAGATTGGGAGAAATGCTCCATAATGCAAAGGGGAATGCTGGAGGTATCTGTGGGGGAAAGCGGATATCTGCTTGCAGGTTTCACATTTTGGTTTCTGGTCAAATCAGACTGCGACTCGCGATGGCACTGGGCTTGGATAAAGGTGCCTTTTCTTGAACTGACTTGCATTTCAGTCGGTTGCTTTCGACGTCACTGGTGCTGCTCTTCTTATTAATGTTCGGAGCTTTAATTGCTTATCTATCTCATACCCGTTCCGCAAGCCCGTTTGTTAATCTTGTCCGGGATTGGTTGATATCAACAAGTCTGCTCTCTCTTTCGGATCTTTATCACCTCACAGCTTTATATGAGGCAATGATTTAAGTAGATAAATTGAACAAATCAAGAGAATACACATCGGATATACTGACGTTGTAAGTTTTGAGAATAAAACAATGTTCTGTGGGAAAGAATCTTTAAAATCGACTCTTCGAAGTTCCTGGGTTTTCCCTTCACAAATATTTAGTTTCTCATCTTCAACTTCAACTTCTAGCCTCCAACCGCTCCGTAGATTGATAACAACCCCACCGCAACATCTCACTGTTATGCTGTCACTTTCAATGGCTGCAGTGAGGCCTCCCTACATCTGTCTAACTTGCAAAATACACAGCAGACGAATACTCACTGGCTCTCCATTCCGCCGGGGCTTCTTCAGCTCCCATCCTCAACTCTCCTCAAATACCTCATCCCGCCCACCTACTGCCCCCAAACCAATCCCAGACATAAAACACATCCGCGAAAATGCCGCTCTCTACTCCCAAAACTGCATTGACCGCAATTACTCAGATCTGGCCCAATACCCATATAGGATCCAGCGCCTGTCCGCAGAATCCCGCGAGCTGCAGGATGCTCTACGAGAACCACACCGCCAAATTAAACAGATTGAATCCTCCATCGCAAAGCTCATGATCTCCTCGCGCAATCCAGATATAGAAGAATCCCAGAAACGAAAGACAGAAGAAGAGCTCTCCTCCCTTCGCCTCTCCGCGCAAACCCTCAAAGACAAATCCAACCACCTAACAACAGCCCGAACAAACCATACTAAAGAAATAGAACGCCTCGCCCTCTCCCTCCCAAACCTCACCAGTCCCCAGACACCCGCAGGTCCCGAACCATCTCTCATAAACTACATAAACTACGACCCCACCTCTCCCTCAACCACCCCCTTGCCAACCCACCACACCTCCCACGTCACCATCGGCACATCCCTCAACCTCCTCAACTTCACCAGCGCCTCCCTAACCAGTGGCTGGGGCTGGTACTACCTAACCAACGAAGCCGCCCTGCTCGAACAAGCCCTAATTCAGTATGCTCTCAGTGTCGCCTTACGGCGGGGGTGGCAGGCCATCTCCCCGCCGTCTCTGGTCTATTCGCACATTGCGCACGCATGCGGTTTCCAACCGCGCGACGCGAACAATGAGCAGCAGGTGTATCACATCGAGCAGAGTGAGAGGGATGTCGAGAGGAGGCGGCCGGGACGGTGTCTGGCGGGCACGGCGGAGATTCCGCTTGCGGCTATATTTGCCGGTCAGGAGATGGCAGCGAACCAGTTGCCGGTGAAGGTGGTGGGGGTTAGCAGGTGTTTTAGGGCGGAGGCTGGGGCCAGGGGGGCGGATACAAAGGGGCTGTATAGGGTTCATGAGTTTACGAAGGTGGAGTTGTTCGGATGGGCGGTGCCAGATGAAGCTGCAGAGGGGACTGATGGATGCACGGCTACGACTCCTGTTAAGGGGGCCAGTGGCAGTGGAATTGGAAAGGGATCGGTAACGACATCATCTCTCTTCTACGAAATCCTCGATCTACAAACTGAAATCCTCACTGCGCTCAACCTCCCCTGCCGCGTGCTGGAGATGCCCACGCAAGACCTTGGCGCCAGTGCTTTCCGCAAGCGGGATATTGAGGTCTTGTTTCCCTCTCGGATGGTCTCGCATTCAACTTCTGCCAATGCCCGTGCTAATGCAAAGGATACCACCATTGACATTGAATCCGGCTGGGGTGAAGTTACCTCCGCTTCTATCTGCACCGATTACCAAACTAGACGGCTAGGGACGAGGATGAAGGCTGGTAATGGTGGTGGGTCGAAGTTCCCGCATACGGTCAATGGGACGGCGATGGCGGTGCCGAGGATCATTGCGGCGTTGTTGGAACATGGGTGGGACGAGAGTAGGGGGGTTGTGGTATTGCCTGAAGTATTGAGGGGGTGGATGGGGGGGAAGAGGGTTATTGGGGGAAAAGAGGAATCATAGGGTAACCATTGGAGGAGATATAATGGGAAGATGCGGACTTTTTTTGTAAGATATAACTAGAAGATTTGTTTTGATTGTATTATAACATTGTTACGGAGTCGTAGTTGATATGTATTGCCCTAGTGCATGTGGCTGGGATAGAATAACTCTAAGATGTAGAATTGAATTGGAAAAGATAACCTCTTGCTCTTGTTGGATATGACATGGTCACGACCGATCCCTTTTCCAATGCAATAAGGGAGTGAAACTAACATACACCTATATGCTGAAAAAAACTCCACTTCTATATTCATTCTTCTCCCTCAATCATTCCAAGTGCCCACATACATATAACGTGCTGCGTAGCTAACAGCCTAACTACATGTCCTGTACTTCTGATTCCATTTCATATAATGCCATCTTATACCCTCATCTTGTACCAAAGTTGTAGAGTAGAACAGGAAAAAAAAAAAAAAAAAGCAAAGAAAGAAAGAAGATAAAAGAAAGAGTCATGTCAATGGCGTTTCACTCATCAAGAGATAAACAAGGAGGACATAAAAGCAGATAATAAGAGAGGTAAAGTGGGGGAAGGGAGGTTGCTGTGGTGGAAAAGGGGTATGGCCGTGAAAAAAGGGGAAGACATATGAAAAAGGAGGGTATATCATATATTCATTTCATGCACGATACACATTGAAAAAGAAAATGGAAAATGAAAACAAATTGAGAAACTCAATCTCTCTGAAAAGGCGCGAATAATGTTGACAGGGAAGATGAATGTGAAGAATATTAAAAAGGAGTAAAGGGGTGAAAGAAGTCAATTGCATTCCTCATCTCACCTCACGTCACCTAATGCACCGCATCCCAGTTCATCCCAACCCCAACAAAACGAACTTCAGCTCACTACCACGGATAATCACCCTCTTCAACCCTCGTACAAGTCAAATACGGCAACAACACACCACCCCTAGCATCCTCCCCTCCACCACCCAAACTCCTCAAATCCAACTCCAAAAAATTCTTCATAAGCGGCTTCACAATCTCTCGCGCAAGCCTCTTAATCTCATCCATCTTCCGCTCGAACCGCTTCAGATTATCCCGCGAGTATAGGGAGTCGTGGGAATGTGAGTGGGACTGTTTGAGGAACTTTTTTAATTCGTCGTGTGGGAGGTAGACTTGGGTTGAGGGGGAGCCGAGGAGGCGGTATGTGCGGCCTGGAGAGTAGGAGGGGGTGGTTGTGTTGGAGGTGGAGGAGGTTTTGTTAGTTGTCGTGGTGGTGGGAGCAGCGCCCGCGCTAGTGGTTGGTAACATCGTAGTTGTTGCGGTTGCGGTTGCGTGTGTATTATTAGTGGCATTGTTATTCGTTGTTGAGACGGTGGAAGTGTTGCCGTATGCATTATTCGCAACGACACTTCCATTGTAATTATTATTATTATTCCCACCATCACCCCGGGCCTGTACAGCCGGCAACGCCTTTATAATTCCCTGCGGTGGTGGCGTGGCATTCTCCACGAGCCACTGTCGAAACAACGACACGGCCAACCAGTCCAAATACGCATTGGTAGGACTAACTCTTTCCCCCCTGGACGTCGTCAGTGATAACCGGAACAGTTTCCCCTCCACGCGCGCCTTCAGGTCCTCCAGATCCTCAACTTTATCCTCAATGAGATCCAGCACCGAGTCCGGTAAAGGTGAGTACGAAGTGTGACCCAGATGAGGCAACGCAGCCGGCCACTGGCCCACGACGTGGATCAGGGCTTCCGCAAAAATTACATGGCTGCGCGCCAGATAGCCCAGGCGTAGGTAGCTGGGTGGGTATTTTGCGATTTGCTTATAGAGGCGGGAGGAGAAGCGGAGGAGGTGGTGGTCGACGCGGGGACCAACAACGGCGAGCGCATCGTACATGTCTGCGAGGTTTAGGAGGGACTTACATTCAGAATAGGCGGAGGCAATGTTTATGGAGTTTAGTTGGGGAGGGTAGTTGTAGAAGACGCGGAAGAGGTTGTCGTAGTCGCGGATCGTGGAGTCCAGGGGTTGTTCATCGAGAGCTGATTTGGTTGCTAGGGTTGACGAAGTGGTGGCGGTGCTTGGGAGGTGGAGGGCGGATTGGATGCCGGTGAGGTTTGTGATAGAACGGAAGAAGCCTTGGTGTGGTGGTGGGGGTTTTGTGCGTGCGGGAGGGGGTTGTGGTGGACGATAACTTCCGCCAAAGATTGTGTTGCTTTGGGATGGGGCCTGCAATTACATCAGATATATGTATTGTTATAGAAATATATCCCATATTGTAAGATGGACTCACCCTCTGCACTAGAATTGGCACCTCGTCCTCCTCCCTGTGCTCCCAATCCAATTCATACCTCCACCGCGTCTTCGTGGGTGCAGATGACACACGACGGTGATGCGACACCAGTTCACCATCACCGCTATCCTCGTCAGGGATAATGGCCAACCCACGCTCCCCAGGAGCATTCTCCCTATTCCCATTCCTAGTTTCATTACTATTAACATTGCTTTGACCATCATCACCCTCCAGCATCTCCCTCAACGCCTGCACACGCGACCACTCCTCACTCGTCCCCGCATCAAAGAAACCAGAGCAGCGCGCAAGGATCAGACGATGGAGTAAATAGCGCCTTTCCTGGGTGGAGGCGCGGATGACGATCTCGACATCACCTGTCGCGGCGAAGATGGGGAATTGATTGAGAGGTTGCGGGGACGAGCCGCCGTGGTGGGAGCGGACGGAGCGGGAGTGGGAATGGCCATGATGGTGGCGTTGGGAGTGGGAGACGCGTGAGGAGGAGGCGACGGAGGCGGGGGCGCGGGGAGCAAAGAGTGGGAGTGGGGGGCGAATGGTGTTGTCCGGATGGGAGACCATGTCTGTATTATTTGTTGGTGTGGATGCTGGCGTTGTTCTTGTTTCTCTTGTGGTTTGTTGTTGCTGTGATAATTGTGGCTGTGGTTGAGGGTTGGAAGCAGCACGGCTTATTGAGGGGCGAGAACGGTGGAGCATCGCATCAAGAGGCGGGACATGGTATGGGTATGGGCGGACGTGTATTAGGGGATGAGTATTAAGTCCAGAGAAAATATCAATATGTAAGTGATTGCGTATGAACAAGAGAACAGTGTGTTTGAGAGTGGTGATAAGTGCTCAGCCTGGCACGAAGAAGACGTGGCCAGAAGTTGCGGTGCTGGTAGTTATTTAGTTATCGTGTTGAAAATATCGTGCAGAGAAGTGGAATCCCTCTTCTCACACCCGGACAGCGACAGAACCTAGGTAGGGTTATCTGAAGAACGAAGAAAAAAAAAAAAAAAAAAAAAAAAAGAAGAAGAAGAAGAAGAAGAAAAGACGCGAGATGGGCCAGCAATCCTAGGATGTTTTTAGCTGACTCGAGGCATCCCTGGGATGGATGTTTATAGCTATGGCATCTATGATTACCCGCGCCAGGGATAACTTAACAGGATAGACAGAAAGAATGCAGACGGCAGACAAGAGGCAAGACACAACAGAGTCAGAGATATCGATTTTCTTCTTATTAGAAGAATGAACATCTCAAATGGATGTCTCTATTTCGTCCATGCCCACAGCTGCTCAGCCTCCATCAAACCCATCTTCATCAAATCTCCCCCATACAGAACGCAGATACAATTCAACTAGCAGAGTGGCAAGCGCTTCAGCCACCCAAGGCACTGGGCCATGGTCCTATCACAGCGCGAGAAAACACAAGTTCGACAGCTCAACAGCTCTTGATATCATGGGATGACAGCACTCTGACAGGATAGGCTAGAGTTTCTTCAAGGGTATGGAGTGAGACACACCCTGTGGCTGTCACTCTTCAGATACAGAGATAAACCCCTGCCATGACGCGACTTGAAACATTTCATGGTATTCTGCGTCTTCTTCTGCCGCCAACTGCTGCTGCTGCTGCTAAGGGGTTGAAACACTTGAACAACTGCGAACATGATGATCTGATGAGAGGTTCCAGCGAATATTTTGATAAACAGAAAGTTATATTTCATATTTGTCTGCTTCAGCCATGGAACAGGATGAAGTATAAATATCTGTTCAACTTAGTGAACTTGGTAATGATCTCATCAATTATTTATTAGTAAATAAATAGAGCTTTACAAGTTAACATAAAACTCTTAAACAAGGGAGCACCTAAAGTGAGCAAGAAGCAACCAATTCAAAATATTTTGAGTTATCTAACTCATTTACCTCGATGCCACCAATTTGCAGGAAAAAAATGCAAGAAACTCTATGGAAATAGAGGGAAGAATTGAACTTGCAATGTTCATTATCAAAAAGCAAGAAATATTCTCAATTTCAGAGGCATTATCACATTGCAGTGAGCGTGATGTTATAGAACATACTATTCATACATGCTCTCAGCATACAGGGAATAATGTATAATGTAATTTGAGGATGTAGCTATACGGTTGTTGTTTAATTTACTTTGATATCCTGGTTGTGATGGTAAACCAATCAACTAGGTGGTTTGATCGACTAGGTGGTGAAATACGTTATTATATTTCCGGCCATAAATGCAAAGTGGGTAATAAGCAGGACGAAACAAAAAAGGAGAAAAAGGAAAAGAAAAAGGCTGGAACAACAGAGAGAAAAAGAGAAAAAGATGTTGAAGATAGATCTGATAACGCTTCGTGAAACATATTTTAATTAACCAAGATTAAGATTTTAGGCGGGCCAGAGAAGGAGGGGTTCGAGAAAGGAAAATGGGGATGAAAAAGATCATGAATCATCGCTAGAACGGTTGTGAAAGTGAGTCATGAATTAGAGATAGGAGAGGGGGGAAAAGATAATCCAGATAGAGTATGGGACAAAAGAGATACCCATACTGACGAGAGGGAATGAGAGAGAGAGAAAGAAGAATATTATATAGGAAATGGAGGGGTGCTGTATACGCTGTGAAATGCCTGAGGAAGAGCTATGAATGGTGATGAAAATGATGGAGGGATGGATGGAAGAAGGAAAGACGAAGAAAAGACTAACGAGACCAAAAATAATACGCAAGAAAAAAAAAAAAAAAGAAAAAGAAAAAGAAAAGGAAAAAAAAATGGAAGAGACTGAGACTGAAGCGCTGCAGCTAAACAATGCAAATAAATAGTTGATATAGGAAAAAAATAGAAGAAACGACAGAGTGGACGAAAATACTAACACCCCGAAACAAAATTAAAATCAACCAAAACCCAAATGGAAAAAGAGGGGAAAAAAGGGATGTCAAAAGACCGCCGACAATCCATTTTTCGAATGCCGTCGACTAAACCGTTTCTTCCCTTTGACCGACTCCGCATCGCCCGTGCCGCCATGATGCTTAACCAGCGTCGCCCGTCCGCCTGCTGCCTGTGGCGCATTCAAATTGACGTTTACAGAAGCAAAGTCGACTGAATTGTCAATCGTGTTCGCATTGCTGGAAACGCCAGACGAGATATCGCGCAGCGTGTCGTCGTAGGAGGAATTATTGTTGTTAGCCGATTGGAAGACGGCTAGTTCCTTAGCGTGGTCGAGAGTGTCTATCCATTCTTGGGTGGAGAGGGCAGAGGACGCAACGTCGTTTGAGGAGGGTTTGGCGTCTTCGAAAACGTAGTGTTTTTCTCGCTGGTGGGAGGGGAGGGAGGTTAGTTAAAAGGGAGCTTGGGGGAGAAACCATGTAAATCTTAGGGAAGGGAATTGCTCTTACTGTATCCACTACCCACGATGAAAAACCTTTTGCGTCGGTGGTGCTTCGATACTGAGCTCCGGGAGCTAAGAGCGAGATATCCATCTTGGCCTTCTTCTCTTCTCCACCCGCGGGTGCGATAATGACACGGCCAGCAGATGTAACCATAACTAATCGGTGGCGCTTCTTAGTCGTGTTCCCTCCAAAGAATCGGGAAAACTTCTTAGGAGCATCACCACCGTCTCCGTGTCCACTTTTGCCGTGCTGGTTATGAGGAGCTGGAGAGGACAAGACAAGCAAATTGCCCATTTTCAATATACGTTCGTTTGTCCGCGTTAAAACAGGCGACCATTCAATATCAAGTTGAGAGGGGGGTGGGAGATCGGTGACAAGACGAGGATAATTTCTTGTACTTCCTGAGTTGCCTGATGATCCGAGACCCATCTTCGTTATATTTGATGGAAAACTGTCATCTTTGTTTGAACCATTTAGTTTAATTGGTTCAGGATGCGGAGGCACATAAGGTTTCAAACGGGGTGCTTTCTGTTTCCAAAGGCCACGGCCCCAGACGATGCCGTCGAAAAACTCATGGTTTTTGATGTGTTCCATTTGCAGCCGTCTTGATGGATCAAGCACGAGTAGCCGTTCCACTAAATCGCGCGCAACTGCTGGGAATCCCGGTGGGAACTCATAGTCGAGACCAACGATCTTTTGGAAGGTTTGATACTCATTCGCGCCTTTAAAGGGGGGTCGTCCCGCTAGTAATTGGTAGATGATGCATCCAAAGGCCCACAAGTCACTTGCTTTATAGGCGCTTTTGTCTGTGAGAAGTTCCGGACTGACATATTCTGCAGTTCCCACAAAGGAATTGGCGCGGTCTTCTTGATCAGGGAAATCCGAGTCCATCTGGGGGATACCGCTTGAATTTTCTTCCTGTCTTTTTGGACGATCTAGCATTTTCGCCGTGCCAAAGTCCGTAATTTTTACATGCATCTGACTGTCCAATAACACGTTTTCTGGCTTCAGATCTCGATGAATAACTCCGCGCTTGTGCATGTAGTCAATGGTATCCAGAATCTGTGCGCCATAAAATCTTGTGCATTCTTCATCGAACGACGACATGCGTTTCAACACACCTAGTAACTCTCCTCCACTCGCAAGATCAAGGACGAAGTACAAGGATCGCTCATCCTGAAATGTGTAGTATAGCCGAACGACACCGGGATGATCGGTCAGTCGATTCAACGTATCCTTCTCAATATTAACATACTTCACTTTCTTTTCTTTAATAATATGACGTTTGTCGAGAATTTTTATTGCGTATTCCTTTAATGTTTGACGATCTGTAGCCGCAACCACGGTACTGTAGGATCCCTCACCGAGAGTACGACCAAAGGAAAAGTCTCTGACACCCTTCTTCACGTATCTCGACACCGGTTTCCCATTTGCATCGATTTCTTGCCTCACACCAACAGCCGCGCCACGATCATGCCATTCCTCGCTACTAGACAGTGTAACATTTTCTATTCCATAGGGGGAGCCAGAAAGAGGGGAAGCGCCATTGTTAGGAGCCGCTCGGGAGCTCCGGCGGGGTGGGAGCGGGCTGCTCCCGCTGTGGAACTGTGTTTGCTTGTAGGTTCTCTCGGAATGGCTACTGTCTTGTACAGGGACTCCCGCTTGGAGGGCTGCAGATCCTCCGCGAGAATCGGACCGTGATTGACTTTCAGACGTTGGTAAGGGGGACGATTCAGTACGAAGTCGATATCCTTCCCGGGGGACCATATTGGATGACGACCCATTGGTAACGGGTTGCGCATAATAAGCTGACATTGGGTGGCCAATACTTGCGGGAGTGGGAGCGGGAGCGGGAGCGGGATTTGAGGTCTGGGATTTGGGATCAGCATATTGGGAGTATTGCTGTTGCGGCGGGTTCTCGTATCCATAAGCTACGGATGATAGGTTGCTCTGGGTCTGGGAGGAAGGATCGGGGACTTTAGCGGCTGTATTGATATTTGCGCCAAGCTGAGGAGGATTTCTGTCACCAGCTGTGGCTGGCGAGCTTGTTTGGGGGGGATGTGAAGTTGTGCCAGCAGAACTTGGAGCCTTGTCTCCAGGTTTGACGGAGGAGTCATCTGGATTAGCAATCCGCAGACCCCCAAAGGACTGCGACAGGCTTAGATCACCGTCCATAGCAGTAGAGGACGACAATCAGCAAAAGGATGAGTAAGAGACAAAAAGTGGTAATGATCGGGCAGAGACGTGGCAGCTATTAAGGTGAGACAGACGCTGATGAGACGGGGGCAGGAATGGCGGTAGACGGAGGCGTGGGGTAATTAACCAGACGAGTAGGTCTCACAAGACAGAGACTACGCCGGTCATTGGAGCGAACAGTGAGGCATGACAGGTACACAGTGCAGCCAGAGAAAGACTACAGAGGACAGCTCTCTCTATATGGCGTTTCAATGAGCGAAGAGGAAAAGCGGGGGGTGATAAAAGGCAGAGCAGTAGAAGGAGGAAGACGAATCGTGCAGGGTGCAGCAAGGAGACAAGAGCGAAAGAATTGGGGTGAGAGGTTCCAAACAATGAGGTTGAGGTTGAGGTTGAGGTTGAGGGGAACAGAGGGCAGAGAGTGAGGTGCAGTCAGGACAGAGTGATATTGAGGCTCAGCGGACGTTGAGGTTTAAGCAAAGCAGATTGCGTGACGGTGGAGAGTACCTGAGCCTGCCAAGACATGCGTATCTAATACAGCAAGTGCCGGGAGCTGGTATTTTACGTGACGGTACTGTACGTTGCATTACATCGATTGGCAGGTGACAGAAGTGTCCCATGTAGCCGGGACCCGAAACATATGTAACCATGATACGGTAATACCGCCGTTTTGTATTGTGCCAAAGTCAACATCATGACAGATTTGACATTCAGACTTACGCAGTCCACGCAACACGCAACCACGGATGACTGTTCAACAACCCTGGCAGATACCAACAGCACCGGCTGAGGTGCTTGTCTCGAAGTACCGTATACAGGGGATGCACCGACCTCATCATACACACGGCACATTGATGAGGGTGTGCATAGTTCATTATAACTATCTCTATCTATAACGTTATATCCCCTATCCTACTATATATAGCGACAGTTTCAAAACTCTCTGCTGAGATCTTGGGATCTGGATCTGTTTCCAGGACAAGGCTATTTCTCTCCCCGAATGATGGGAGACTCCCCGGTAGTTTTAGTTAACTGCTTGCCTACCCATGTTAACTAAATGCATGCACAGGAACTGTTGTTAACTAGTTAAGTGAAGGGGGAGTCTTACCAGTCCTCACGGGGTCTTTCAGCAGGAGTCTCCCTCTCAGTACATAGGCTGCGATCAGCCCTGAGGGTAACAACGACCACAGCGGGGCCTCTGTTGATATGGCCCCTGTTTCCCCATTTATTATGATATAAGAACGGCATGGCCAGGATGTATGCGGTTGACACATCCTGTCTGTTATCCCTTGCTGCGACTCTCCACAATAAATGCCCGGAATTATATTCCGTTAGCTTTGAATCGGAGATTCGCCGGTATAGAAACCCGGATTGGAATATGGCTATGATCCGATCACGCCCAACTTCCATAACACTCTCAGACAAGGAGGTCAACTCCTGTTCCCAGAGGATTCTGCTTTCTCGAATACTCGAAAGGGGCAGGTCTCCGTTGGTATCGCCAACTCCTCGACGAGTCCAGTCCTCATCTGAAGGGCCAGCCTCCACTCATTCCTATCTTGTTCCTGACTCCAGCAGCTTCGAGGAATTTGTGGATTGTGGTTCTGGTGATTGCGGCAGCTCGCCAGTTGTCAGCACCGGTAAACATAAACGGGAGATTTCGTCCCCGGGGCCAAATGCAGAAACACCACCACCTCCTCCTCCTCCACCTCCTCCGTCTCCTCCGTCTCCTTCTCCGCTGGAGTCTCTACCGTCCAGCACTGATACCAAACTAGCCGAGCAGCTGGATTCGATAACACTGAACTTCACATCATTTCTTTCACCGTCCACCTGGCTTGGTCCGTTTGCTCTGACCTCTGGATACGTTGGCGGATATATATACCCGGAAAAGGGGTTCTTCGTACCGTCAAAGCTCCCCGAGTGCAATCGAGAAACAGTAGGCTATCAAATAAAACCTCACGCTTCTTCAAAATTAACAGAGCCTCGAGATCCCATCAGCACCCTTCTAAGCTCGATAGACCCAAATAGAGGACTCTCAATTCTAGGTTATTGTCTTCCTAATTTGAAATCGTCCAACCCAGCAGCCCGTATTTCTCCCTGTCCCCAATCACCTCTATCTACATCTCCACATTCACTTTCTCAGAATATCAATTCAGAAAGTGAAGACCCCGACCACTTTTACCAGAAGGTTAAAGACAGTCTCTCCAGAACTGATCGTCTTTGTCCGTCTAACCGGTCACTAGTTAGAGGCAGCTCTTCTCGACACAGTGAAATGAAATCGATTTGTCATATATCTTTAAACACCAAACCCCCTGAGCATCAATGGTGTTGCCGCAATGCAGTGTGCAGTTACCGCTATCTGTCTACAAAGCCTTCACTATGCTGTTGCGGGATGTATTCAATATTGCTTATTGGTGAGTTCCTTACCTCTCGACCATCCAGAGAGTCACCTATGCCCCAGGAACCCATGGAAATTCTTCTTCATTTCTTCACACTTTGAATATTTCATAATGCCCACCTGCAGTACCTGTTTACTTTATTGCCATACTCCACTCGAATTCCAATACTTTACCTCTGTCTTCAGAATTCTCCTGCAAGGCACCGTACAACCACCCAAAGGAGCTACTGAACATTCTCCAGAACCCCATCCTTCCAACCGCGAGATAGCAACCACTTGCACGTCCACAGCTAGCATGTCTTCAATGGTCCCCAAGATATCTTTCTCAATCTCAGGTCCGAGTCGGTATGGGCATGCGACCTCCCCAATGGCGAGCTCAAACATCATCACTCCCACAAACCACATCTTATTCTTCGCACCAAACGCAGTCATAGGCCAACTAGGTGCGGTACAGAAATTCAGAAATCAAGACCTCGGCCTTCCAACCCCGTTGTTGCATATGGAGACGTGGTTTACGATTCCATGGATGACTGTGCCGTTGCATACGATTGCGTACCCAATTCCAAACGGGGTGTTGGGTGCCATACCACTTCGCCATACGGGAGAGACATGTCATATGATTGATCTTGCTACAGTCACTGGGGACATCTCTGGACAGAATCGGGTAGGTTTTGTTATAGAAATAACGACTAGTCTTTTTCATTTTAGCATCGTAGTTAACTGACCTCCATGCTCAAAAACAGGGGCCGGCTCAAACAGCAGCTCAACCTCAACCGCAACCTCAGGCCCAGATGACGCCTCAGGTATCATCAACGCTTCGCGCCCAAACTCCGCTCTTCCAGTACATGTTTGCCCAATCCTACTCAGCAAATCAACAGCACACCCCTACCGGACATGAGACTACTACCTCCACTCCAGTACAGTCAGGAGGACAGGGACATTTTCCCACCGCCGCGGGAACAGTGCAAAACAATAACAATACCAACAGAATTACGTCCGGGCCAACGCTTCCACCGACACAGTATGTGCCCGCTGATCTTGGTAATGGGAATGTTGCGTGGCAGCCGCGGTCGTTGAATAATTCTAATGGGTGGAGTGGTTGGAATGGGACGGAGCAGTGGTGATTATTCAGTGGAGTGGGAGGGATAATGGGGGAGGGTTAGACTTTGTTTTGGGGGAAGTTAGGATGGTTTGGTTTACATTGTGGTTTGGAAGATGAAGATGGGTGTCAAGGGGCGTTGGTTGAGATTGGTCTTTTCTGTTTTCATTACTTTTGCTGCAGATTGTGTGCAGTCAAATATCTATCTTTAAGTGTTGAACTTTATTAAACATACGACAACATGATATCCATAAAGAATAATACGAAGGCTTGAATTGAGAGGTTTTGACTTTTTTTAGTATTGAAATATATGCATAATGTTTCTCATAATTAAAAATTGAAAATGGACTTAACTTTCATTTTATGAGGTAGACGGTTGAGTGCTTCTTACCCCCCCCTTTTTTTAATATAGAATTCTTATACCATGTTGCCAATGTTGTGTATTATCAAGGTCACCAATTCATTACAAAGCTAAAAAAAAAAAAGAAGAAAATTGTTTAATTATTAAAACTGATAGAGAGGTGACCACGCAATATCTCATATCTTAAAGTTCCATGGTGTCCTCTATATATATCATTCTGCGGCAACTAACATTCTTTGTAAAATAACAGAATGCAGTTCCCCATACAAATAAATCTAGCTAATTAACGTACCCCAAGTCAGATAAGGATAAGTATGTCTTCAAATAAAAATCGCCAGACACAAGATCCCCAAAATCTAAAATCTAAAACACTTTGATCAATCAATCTATCAAATGCAAACGACGTTTTAAGAAAAAAAAAAAAGGGGGGGGGGAATCATCTAATTTCTCTCAACAACCCCCTTCTTCTTCCCAAACACCTGCGCCCCATCCACCAACCTCCTCTCCCCATTAATCCGCCCATTGACAAAATCCGGATAATTCAACGTCAACTCCACCGCCCCATTCACGATATTATCCACCGCCTCCACCCCAAGCATAAACGAATGATCCTGATTTCCAACCTCATACCTCCAACTCCCAAAGCGGCCGCGGGACCAGATATCCATTCCCTGAAGGCGCGGGAGCAGCTGCGTAAGCACACCCTCGCGCTCCAGAGATGGGGTCGGGTACCCGTGGTCGAAGCGGCGGTGGTAGGTGGAGACGATCTCGTCGGTTGGCTGGAGCATTTCGGTGTTTATGAGGCCCTGGATGGAGTCGGCGAGCAGAGATGAGTGGTTTACCGGCTTTAGGGAGGATTCAGAGACTTCGAGCATGATGGACCAGTATGGGCCTGGTTTTGGGGCGGAGTTGGAGGGTTTGGAGCCGTTGGCTAGTTGTTTTGTGGGGAGTTTAGTGGTGGGGGGTGGTTGGTTGTGTGGGGAGTAGTTTGAGAAGATTGTTGCGCGGTAGAAGGGGCAGTTGTCTTCGGGGAAGTAGAGCTGGAGCTGGAGTGTTAGCGCCTTTTTTTTTGGGACTTTCAATTGGTTTTTGGGAGGTTGGGGGGAACATACCCAGCACTTATCGCCTATTCTCTTAGGCCGTTCACCTCGTATACCAACGCCGATGACATGGGTGGAGGAGTAAAACAGGTCCTTGCTCAAATTGATCAATTCCCTGTCCCCCATCTGTTCGACTAACATGTCTACCGGCATGGTGGAAACGAGCCTTTGGTAGCCGACCGTAGTGCCATCAGCAAGAGAAACAGTCTTGTTGCTGGCATTAACCTTTGTAACCTTGCCCTTCTCACCGAATCGAGTGTTTTCCTTGGGGAGCGTATCTGCGACAGCGATCCAGATACCACCGGTGCCACCGCGGGCGGGGAAGCGAAAAGTCGCGTTGGGACCCCAGTTATCCGCTGTCTTCTGCAGGACGACGTTCCTGGTCACAGCCTTGAGATTGGGAGCTGCAACACGCTCGCCCAGCCAGGCACATTGCATCTGATAATAGAGAGTTGAATTAGCGGGACACAACTTTCTAAGATAATCTTCCTACAATTTTACTTCACGTTAACCTGGTTTCCCACCCACCTTGGTAGTCGGAACAGCCCACACTTTATAGTTGTAAGGGCGCATGAATAAATCAGCAATACCAGTCCCCATCATGCGGAGAATCCACTCATCAAAGTCCTTGGGCTTTGTGTTGGCGACGCGGGCTTCGAGAGCGGAGTCAATCATGCCGTCGAGACATTTGACCTGGTCCTCCTTGGGGAGCAGGGAGATGTTGTTTTGGAAGGGGTAGGGGACCCAGAGGCCCTTGCAGCGGACGTAGGAGATGCGCTGGTGGGTGTACCAGTCGCCCTCTTCGGGGAGCGCCTCGTTGATGCAGTCATCGAAGTATTTGTAGTGGGAGAAGATGACGTGGCCGCCAACGTCATATAGCTATTTGGCAATTACCCAGATAATTAGCAGATGTGTGAAAAATGAGTGACGGGAAGAAGACGACTCACGAATCCTTCTGGGGTGACGTCTGTGGAAGCCAGACCACCGGGGATCTCATTGGCATCCACGATCAACCAAGATGGGCCATCCTGTTGCGAGAGCTAGTTAGCAATTGAGCCATTTCGAGCTGCTATATTACACAGCAGGTATATATCTGTAAGGCAGAGAAGATATAGACAGGTATGGGCCATACAATCTGATTTAGGCGCTTCGCAGCACCTAGACCGGTGGGGCCAGCCCCTATGACAAGAACGTCGACTGAGCTGTACTCAATTAGCGATAGTTTACAACAATTGGGGTGGGGGTGTAGACGAGCAAATGCGCACATATCCGGGTGTGTCATTCTCATGCAGGAATATCCTGAAAGCTGGGGACACGCTGCAGAGGTTTGCGGTCAAGATGAAGCATAGAACCGAAGCTGGAGAGTCTTTGGTTGCGGTCGCTGTAGTCGCTGTAGTCGCTGTAGTCGCTGTAGTCGCTGTAGCGCTGTAGTAGCTGTAGTACTGTCGTCGCTGTAGCAGCTGTGATTTTATGGAGTTGTGGGGATGTCGTGGAGATTTGAGAGGGCAAGGAGGGACAGAAGGGTATTGAATTTACGGACAGTTTACCACCCGACGCAGCAAGGAGGCCAATTTCGTGAAAGGGAAACGAGGGAGAAGATGGGAAGAAAGGATAGGAAAAGAAAAAAGAAAAGAGGAAAAAAAGGAAAAAGAAAGAAGGGAAAAAAGAAAAGAAACGAAAAGAAAACAGTGAGAGGAAGAGAGTGCAGTAGGATGATTGTTAACAAGGGGGTGGCTCAGTGTGCAGGCTAATTAGCGGGAGGAGGTTTGGGTTCGATCTCAACTTGGCGGTTGGAGCGAGGAAAAGATAAAGAGAGTGTGGGTTTGGTGGGGCTGCACAAGGAGATATCAGAGTGTCAGAAATCCAGATATTGAGCAACTTCATCCCATGAGAATAATGATATAGATGGGAAATAGGGGATTGTCCACTTGGATATCCTATTACCATGGTATATATTCTGCTCGCAATTGATTTAGATATTGATTTCGCCTCTGCAATTAACGGTTTGTGCAGTATCATCTCGCCGTCCTGGCTACAATGGGGAGTCATAAAAAGAGAAAAAGAAAATACGTCAAAACAAGCAAAATTCGCGATTATCCCCGCCTCTATTTCCCTCTCCATTTATCTAGCGACAAAACGCATCCCTCAAATGCAGGTCGACCCCTGGGTCAAGCGAAGCGATAAATTATTTCGTCTTCAGCTGATGGTCCTGAATTATCGCAACAACCACCAGGTTTTTCGTTGAAATTTGTCACCTGGAACTCTCTCCCCCCTGGCTATCATAATCGGATCACAATACGGAGAAAAGATCCTGAATCAATCTTGGCATAGAAGGCAACTTAAATAGTGATGAAGTATTTTATTCCAGCCTTCTCCTCAGGTTTGCGCGTCCCAAACGCTCCAAAGACATCTGAACATTGCGATCAGCCCCGTGTCAATGGCGGGATTGGTCAAATACGCAACGGGTGTGCTCAAGAACCGCCATAAAAGAATCGTGCACCTTTCTTATTATATTACTATTCATAAATGAATAGAAGTAGAAAAGAAAAAGATCTAAATAAAAAATAATAGAAAAAAAGAAGAAAAAAAAAATATCATTTCTTATAATTAGTGATATTTAATTTGATTTTACAGCTGCCACTCACCAAATATCCGCTCGGTGGATCACGCTAAAAGATAGTTAACTATAGAGTGATGACCGAATAATCTTCATGAATTCCTTTTCTCTCACAGGAAAGTAATCCAATATGCTCACTTCAATGGGATGGGATTTGATTCCTATGCATGTTTCACCTGCGCGAGCTACAGCAGCCTGAGGTTGTTACAGACAGGAGACTGAGAAGCTACAACATCTCAGCCGGCGGGATTGTACAGCAGGTCCGTGGGCGCCAGATAGACCAAGCTGCATCACCCATACGTATATACAGACAAATGCTTCCCGTACGTGAAAACATGGTTATTTCTTCTGAAACGTCCTTCTCATCCTTCAAATCCCCCACCCCACTTTCCTCCTTTCCCTTAATATCAACCAGTAATTGACCTTCTAAGGATCACTTTTTGTGAATCATGAGTCTTGGTCCATCATCCCTGAAGGTTCTTGAATCGCCGAACTTAAACCTTTGGCCTCGACTTGTTTTCTTGAAGCAACAGTTGTTTAAGCTTCTTTTTATCTCGCTGAGGACTTTTCCCATGGACGGCCATACTTAACTCCCAGGAAAGAATAGACATAGAAATAGAAATAGAAGCAATGGTGGTCCATGGGAGGGTGTATTTCTTCCCAAGTGGTATCCACAGACAGAGACTCCACTTGAAGCATGTCGCATCGTCCATTGGCAACGAGAAAACGAGAAATTGACTCCAGAAACCTTCCTTGATTTAAAAAAGAAAAATTGTACGCATATCTCCTATCCTTCAGGCTTCAGCCATCTCTCCTTGATTGTTGCATCCAGTTGCATACATGTTGGGGCATTGGGTGAGTTCACTAGTTAAATACTGTCCAGCTTCAAGTATTTAACTAAACTAGTTCCAAAGCGAACCAAATCCTAACCTAACTAAATAATAGCT